AGAGAATATTCGCGGCGTAACGGAAAAAATTAACAATCTCGTAAAAAATTAACAAGTAAAATGTGTTGTAAATTTTTGTGAGAAAGTCATCCTGCTTGTCACGATTGAAAAAGACTTGACAACCAGACGTTATTAAAAATTTAAAGATATTTATCTATTTCGAAACATCTACTTTGAAAAGGAAAGAGAAGTTTCTACGTGTCGTGGATATTGATATTTAGGTATATTGAAGAAGAAGACTATTCTCTTGAGCTATTTCAGAGAAATAAGATGTATCTTTTGCATCAACGAAACTTTCGTTCAATTTTCATAGAAAAATACATTTTCGTACTAAACCTTCAAGAAACTGAAAATAAATTGCTTATCGACATATCTTTCAGTCTGGAAATTAAAAACTAATACTTTAGTCTTGTACAAAGCGTGTTACTTTTAACAGGCATAACAAAATTCTGTTAACCTGTTACTATGCTGCATTAAAAAACTCTATTGAAATTAAAGGCTCAAGATATGTATCATTTATTGCTCCAAATATTCAAATTTTATATATTTATATATAGAACATTTATTCATCAGTACGTTTTAAAAGAATATTTTATACATATTATTATTATAATTAACTTCTGCATATTTTTTCCCTGCTAATTATTTTTTTTTGAGACATTACCTTTGCAAGCAACATTTTATTTGCTTCCTGGTATTGCGAAAGAAGCAAAAAAAAAAGGATTTATTCTTAGGAATTGTGTGGCCGAGGACGTCTTTAGGTCTCCAACCTCACGTCACGATCACGTTCCTACATGTCGTTTTGTCTCAGCAATTTCGGAACGAGATTATACTCGTAATGTTCCGAAGTCCAACCTTCAAAGGGCATAGCCTGCATGAACAAGCAACGTAGCATTAGTCACGATTGTTCCGCGGTAGACGGGAAATTAATAGACTGATGATACTAGTAAGAATTAATGAGACTCACGAGAAGCAATTACGATTGATAACTACCTCGATGAGAGAGTAGAGGATCTAACTCACTAACGAAGCCATGTTTCGTCATGACACTGCATGACGTTAGAAGCAAACCAATTAAGAAGCTGTTGCTTAAGTCAGTAAACAATTGAATAATTTTGCATTCCTGAACACATTTAGTAGACAAATTTCATGTACAACCTACTAGGAAATGTTTATCTAAACCTTGACCGCGACCTCTCAACTTCGAACTTAGAAGTGGTAAATTAGCGGTTTCAAAGTTCTAATTTCAATGATGATGTAGTTAAAGGTCAAAATGGGATTTCGTGTTCGTGACCTAAAGAAAGATAACAAGAGCGTGGAGCGGAAGTGGCGGAAGGTGAGAGAGTAGGCTGGATAAATCATGCAGTTTATCTATGATATGATCGAGGTTGCCCTAATTAATGGAGTGCATGATAAATGACGTGATTTAAATGACCTCCTCTAGGACTAAATAAAATCTGACCGATATAATGAGAATTATATTAGTTATCTATAAAAACAAGGCTGCATTTTTCTTTCCAACCTTTTATCTGGTGCCATAAAATCAATCGTGCACTATTCAGCAAATAACACCAGAAATTAAACGCCGTAATCAAATTTTAAGCAAATGTAATCTCGGCATATGTATAATCAATATCTATATTCCATAAATATTGATTATGATATTTGAGAATGAGTAAAAGCAAGAAGAAATTATATTAGACTAAAAGAAATTTCCTGCCTCTCGAGATATTTGAATAGAAATCCAAATCTACAATTCTCAAGATGAAACCCCGTAAACGCGGCCAGATGAACAGATAGCCAGAACAGTTATAATGTCGATTCTAATCTCACCCATATACACCGGCATGTGTCTTTCGTGTACGTAAACTAGAGGGCACAGAAATGCCTGAGCTCACATTCGTACATGCATGTGCATAAACGCGAGGGTGCCTACGGGGTCTGCCGGTGCAACGTCATATGCAAACCCGGACCGAACATCTCGCCTGTCTCGAGACCGGTATACGATGAACCCGTATACGTAAGCGACGTAAATACCTTGGCATTCCATGACGTTGAGGCAATATGGACTACCACTTCCTGCGGCCATATACGTACATGCCGCTTGTATTCCGATAGCGTGCCAAAATGTGGGAAATGCAGATAGAGCTGTTAAACTGCACTTGCGTTTTACGCGACGGGCAATCGAGAAACGTGCGTAATAATATATAGACTCTATTACAGAAGATGAAAATTTGTTGATAGGATGAAAAGATCTCTTCACGTTCTCACGAAGACAGGATTGAGATCATGAAAATTTTATCAACGTTACTGGATTATTCTCCCACATTCTATTCTTTAAATTTACAATTCCTTGCAGAAGGACTAGCACGCTGTTCAACAATCACAAGATTTTGCTTCTTGGTACGAACAATCGTATAACGTCAAGAGATTCGAAGAGAATTGATTATTTCTTTTACATGAATATGTTACGTAAAATGAGATTTTTCACACAGGACTAGCTGACCTACTTAGATAACAGGCACGTCGTAACCATCATTTTTTGGCAACCAGAAAATCTCGTAGGCTCTCGCAGACATGCACTAAGAGGAGAAGACGTGTTTCTACTAAAAGACTAAAACTTGATAGGACAATTTAGCTCAACGCGCGAAAGTGCTATCGATGCCTAAAATAGTGGCAATATCTCAAAATGCACTGTTTTATTAAAACAGGAAGTTTTCACGTAACGCAGCAAATTGATAAATCGACTTTATTCTTTTTTAGGACAGTTTGAACTTTATACCCTGGATTTGCGCGGCCAAACATCCAAAGCTCTATATTTTGTCAGTAAATATTTTTTAGATATTGAAAAAATATATTTATTTACGCAGCGCTTTCCACTGTCATCATACAAAAGTATCTCCTAAAGTCTTCAAATAAATTCTGTCTTCATAAATAATGCCATTCCTTATCATCACTTATAATCGAGAAGTCCACTAATCTTACTTCTTTGTTCGAGGATGGCAATTTTTTTTCTTTTTTCTCTAATTCAGGTCATCTCATCCTATCGCGTAGGCTTGAGTAAACGATCAGGCACTCCCCTAAGCATAACAAAAAACACCTGCCTACGAGGCTGTTTTTCAAGATACGATAACGGTTCTCTTTTCCTTCGCGAGTATTGTATTCGGTCGAGATTTTTCATGCCTAAGCAAGGTGTACCACCAAATGATTTATAACAGCAATATTCGACAAACCGTCACGGCAAAAATATAAGGGTGGTCTGACAAAAGCCGGATAAAATTGATCGGGGGAAGGTGCGTTGAATTCTACAGGAGATATCAGGAGACTAATGAGAATTTTATCTGTTATGGATCTCAACTTGAAGATGGAGAAAAGTAATAGATACTCGATGACAGGCTGATTCCAAATTGATGATCGAACAATTAGTTATTTCACATAAAATATATGCACATTCGATTTTAATGTTAATTTGATGCAAATGCAAATTCACGAAAACTAATTAATAAAGTTTAACAATAATACGACAACGTATAAAATTGATTCGATTTCGTGAGGAATCGTCATACCGCCGCAGGAGATTAACTGCATTTCGCAATTTGTGCTGCGCCCTAACCACACCAGCTGGGCAAAGCCTTTACGTGCGCGCATTATTCCGCATTATCTGCCCCTGACGTCCGGCGATATCGCAAATTCTCGATAATCTACCGTCCGCTGTTATTACACCTACATTTCGACCACAGACAATCCGCACCGTCAATTTTCTCACGAGACAGTACAATGAACGTTCATGCAATTGTTCTAGAATATTCTAGACTAAAAAAACAAAAGAAGTGTCGAATTTAAAAGGAATTCTAAAGAAATTAAAAATTTGACTACGGAAAGAATACCTTGAAAATCGAGAATAATTATTCGATTTCTTTTTTTTATTAAAGGCACTCATAAATATTTATTTGCAACTTATATAATTTGCCAAAATCAACATTCGGTAAAAACAGAAAATTAGGAACGGAATCTGGAAGGTCTCTCATATTTTAAATAGCTCTTTTGATATCATTAAGACGTTATTAGCATTACTAAGAAAAAGATATCGAGATAACGTTCTGGCGACCATGAATTATACACCGCATATAGGAAAACCCTTCTCATATTTTCTTTATCCCTTGAGGCAGGCACATTAAATATTAATGAGAAAAGCGATAATGAAGCTAAAATATCGGTAGTGATCAAATATAATACACGCACTACAAGATCTTTATTTCATTTCATATAATGTATACAATATTTATTAAAAACAATTATTATATAAAATAATTTATACAGTAAAAATATAGTCTATCCTTTTTCTAAATAAAACAGTAATATTCGTTAAATATATATTGTTTCGAGTATAATGCGTAAAAATATTTCGTGTTACAACGTTTGTTCACTACTTTGTGAAATAATTTGAATCCCGGGGGTAACCGAGTAAATCCAACTGTGGAACGTAAAGAAATTTGATTCTTGTGAAGATTCTCTGTGTTCTGCAGCAATTTTATGTCTCTGACGAGGCGCGAATATCGTCAACTGATTCCTGGCGCGTGCAAATCGCACGTTGAAATCTGAGCTACGAGTGCTAGCTATCGATTCCAAGCTCGCTGAGCGACGAACGAACCAACATGCATTCCAATGCAAGAAAGATAAAAATCGTTCGTCATTCGGTTTCCCGATATAACAAGTCGTCGAAGCACTCATCAGAAATGACAGATACTGATGAATTGTTGCGCAACAAGACCTTCCTGATTGTATTTTACTGTAACTCTATTACCTACGCGTAGTAAAACTCGAATATAAGAAAAGACATACTCTAAAATAAAATTTGTATAAATTAAAATTGGGTTTTATTCTTTATTTCGTCTTCTCTCAATTATGATTGTGTATTTGACAGAAGAGATGTTACCAATAGGATATCAAAATGTATATCGAGGTCTGTAAAGTCAGTTCAAAGGTAAATTTCCATTCAGTTGCAGAACAAAGGAAAATGTCGGCCGAAGTGAGAGCTGGTCGACCTACCATGCCAACGATTCCGCACTCCAAAAGGCCAACAATTTTGGTATATCCGACGGGTAAGTTATAAACACCATTACTAATTGTTTCCATTATTAATTCTTAGTATTACGCTGAAACTAAGCTCTACTTTGTTACAAGAAATGTATGGCGACTTATATCATGTTGGTTGTCTTAAGACTTGCGCTAGTTTCATTTTAAAGACACGGTATATTAACTGCGCGAGAAGGATGACGTTTAATTAGACGCTTGTGTATAAAGTATTAGATCGCGCTCACGACAATGTTAAATTACAAACGAGTTATTGAAGCATAGGGGGTTTAAAGAGGTGGAAAGAGAGAGAGAGAGAGAGACAGACATCGGATTGATAATGTAATTACCTAATGCCAGCCATTCGTTATACGGCGAATTACGAGAAACACGAATCCACTAACAAGTTAGCGATGTGTTAATACAACAACACAGTAATGTTATCCGATCATCATTCGCCGATGAAAGGCTTTGCCTATTTACCTCCATCGTGCGAAGTAAAGTACTTTAGCGATGACGTGCAAATTGTCATATACAATGTGTCTGACAAGGGATCATCTCGATTTATACAAATTAGTGAAAATCCCTGATATCACTAAAAGTTGACAGTATAAGATATAAATTAAGAAAAAAGGCAAGACTTTATAGGTTGTACGTTCCAAAAAATTTGATATTATAATGCATGGTAAAAGTTCTAAACGGCTAATATCTCAAAAAATATTGATTTATCTAAAAAAAATGTTTGAAACAAAAGTAATAGGGTTTTTAAAAAGTTATCAGATGATGATTAATTAATTTGATTTTTTAAGAAAAAAAGTAAAAACTTTTTTAAAAACTTTTTTAAAACCCTATTACTTTTGTTTCAAACATTTTTTTTAGATAAATCAATATTTTTTGATATATTATCCGTTCAGAACTTTTACCATGCACTATAATATCAAATTTCTTGGAACCTACGACCTATACGGTCTTGCCTTTTATTGATATCAAATGGATTTTCACTTACTTGTTGTACAAACCGAGATGATCCCTTGTGAAGAAAAAAAATTTTACACACAAAAAAATATCATTCTATTGCTAAAAAAAAGTGATTACTTAATTTATATTCTTTCTTATAAGTAATGTTATCTTTAACAAAGAATATTTTCTTGATAATGTAATCTTAAAATATCTCTTTCCAGGCCGATTTGGAATCGATGGTTCCATCCTGATGGTATCATCCCCTGGTTCAGATCGAAAACTCTTATTTTTATGGATTTTTAGGTAAAATTTTAAAATATTTTAATGTATTTCTCTTAGTATTGAGTAAAAACGAGCAATTTGACAGTCAAAGATAAAAATTTTTTCGGAAAAAGAAATTACTGACTGTTTATATTATTAGAATTGAAATCAATAAAACTCAACTAATCTGAGTCTGATGACTCATGATATTTTACTGATTTAATTGCTTGGACCAGATCTAGTCAGCCAATCACCAGTACTACAACCAGGCCTATCAGTTATTCACTGTACTGTCCGATTTGGACACGGGTCCTTTCGAACTTTGGAACAAATTTTACAATAAACCGCAAAAGTGATCACGAATGCTTGATATTTTTGAATTCTACACTTTTAAATTCTAATTATCTTAAATCAATTACTTTTTAAATTTTTAACACCTTTTAAATAATGATTTACAAGGATTTTCTTTTTTAAAAAAATTTTCGCACGATGAAAATACATATTTGCCTCTATTTTATGAATGTTATGACAGAGAACTGTCAAACTGCTATCGCATGTTCGGTGTCTTATACGGACTTTACATTATAAATAGTACGCAAATCTGCTTAACTGTATTCGTTTAAATTAAAAAGGTCCTATTTGGAACACGGTCCGATTTAGACCACTCTCCCCTACTTATTAAAAATTTTAGAAAAACTCATTATTATGTCAAAGCAAGAATTTTTTTAAGTAAATTTTTATTTTATAAAATTAATCAAAAAAGCGACTTTATATAAATAAATTTGTTTTCACTTAATAATCTTGATTAAAATATTAAATTTACTAGGATGCTGAATATATTAAGTAATTATTATTTGTCTACAGTATGTGTTTTTCTGAGTATACTTTCAGAATTCGAAATTAATTCTTTTTCAAATGCAATTTTAAAGATTCACAATTAATAGACTATTGACATTTAATGAACCTAGAGAGCACTTTTTCAAGGAGTAAAGTACTTTAGCGAGATAACGGAGTTATTTGTGTCACGATTTTCTGTTGGATTAATTAGTTAACGACGACGTTATAAAACTTTAGAAACTTTAGACTTCGCGCAATCTGCAATCGGTGCTTCATTCAAATCTCCACAATAGCTCTAATTTGCAGCTACAGAACAACTGCTAAAAATACGAACATATAGATCTAAAAACACATCCTTAATTTTTAGACGAACGGTAATACGCGAGACATAATAAGCATTCAATACAAGAAACGTGACGAGCACATGGAATACCTACACAAAATATGGAATATCTAATTTTTTCAGAATATGACACATATAATCTTTAGAGGAAGTTATATGTACTAATAGTAATATCCCTTACTAATATTTTTAATAAATCAAATTCAAACGATTAATGTAAATTAATGTACATGCAGTAATAAATGAAGATTTATCTTTTATATATATATAAATATTGACTGCAAAAATAATTTAATGAAGTCGAAAGCAGAATAGTAGCCAAAAGTTGTATTGTATCTCATTCTGTAGAAGTTGCGCGCTATCTTGATTAAAAGTTCTCAAAAGAACCGGCTTTTCTTTGCATCGTGTAAGAAGAATAGCATATACTATAAAAGCTAAATCAAGCTTTATGTATTACATACTGAGAAAATAGCGCTTAATCCAAGAGAGAACTGGGACACTTTTATTGAGGAATGTCGACATTACTATATTATACGTTGTGCAAAAAGTTTTAATCGAACAATTCCGTCGTAATAGAGACAGTTAGGATTTAAATTCTTTTAAATACGGACTGAAAGTTTAATCAGTACCATCTTAAATCTCGTCTTATAACACCTACTAATTCGATTCAAGCAACTTCGCTTTTATTACACGCTTGAAATTTTCATGAACTGACAAACTTTCGAGAAGTGCATGCCACTTTTTGTCTAGTGATGTAGATCTGCTTCGTGAATAGGAATATACGAACGCACTAGTGTGGCATATGTACTTCATTAAAGAAGATACTTATATCATAGATAATGAAAATAAAATTACGTAGCTTTTCGTATATATAAAATCATATTCATATCTAGTAAATCAATTATCGCCAACAATTAATGAAATTGACGTATCAGTAACTGACATATCAATAATTTGATAGGATAAATCCAATAAATTTGATACGTATTCGTATAAACGATTGTGATGTTATCAAAAATAATTCTTCAAAAACGAAGTATTCGACAAAATATTGCACCACCAGTATTTTAAACTATGTTAAATAATCAAAATGAACCGTCGAAAAACGTTGTTCAAGTTGTTAAAAGCTTCTACATCGCTAAAGAAGATAAATACTTTATATTTACGTTGGAGACAATTATGTCGTCAAAAATTATATACCTACGTATTATAGTAATAAATCAAGATTAAAATATAATTGTATTAATTCACTAATAAATGGTAACGCACGACTAATTTGCATCTTTCAGTTACGCCGGAGAGCATAATCATACCTATCGTGTCCTGCATTCTGGGATTTCCGCTGTTAGCGTTAATGGTAATTTGCTGTTTACGGAGGAGAGCGAAACTCGCCAGGGAACGGGCTCGGCGAAGAAACTGTGATTTGGATCATGGCGCATTGAGCCTCGTCCGTTTCAGCCCGGTTCATCGCCTAGGTGAGCACCCATAGAGTTTAAAAGTAAAACTAGGACACGCGCTTACGCGGAACAGATATTCGCTGTGTGAATAGAAACACTGAATAGAAACCAAATCGCTCGTGCAAAATTAAATGTGACGCTAACCAAGCGGATAATACGTGCAAACCAGTGCTGCGAGAAAATTATTAGGAATATAATACATTTTTTTATGTGCGCGAAGCTCTACAATCTTTTTCAAATTAATTTCATAAATATTATCCAATATATTTATAAATAAAATAAATATATTTATATAAAATGGAATTATAAAATAACATATATATATATATATGTATATATTATATTAGGGTGGTCGTTATTTTAACAATTTTTGAAATTTAATCGGGACACCCCCTAAAGTGGTTCAATCTCAAAAAAATAATACGATATTTTTTTTCAGATTTTTTGAACAATTTTAACCCGTGCCACCCGGATACGGATAGGTGAAAAAACACCTTTGTGAACAAAATTCGACCGACGCTCTAATTCTTAACTAATTTTAAAGTTTTTTTTTTAATTTGCTTGAAATTGAATAAGCTATAAGTCCATTCTGCGTAAATTGTGATTACGGTTCAAGGTAAAAATTGCCGATTCAATGAAGTGAGCAGAAAAAATCAAAATTACATGATAACGAATATTAAAATAGCAATTTTTAATTTGGACCGTAATCAAAATTTATGCAGAATGGGCTAATAGCTTATTCAATTTCAAGCAAATTAAAAAAAAACTTTAAAATTGGTTCCGGATTCTGGAAAGAATCAGAGCGTCGGCAAAACTGAATTTTGTTCACAAAGGTGTTTTTCCACCTACCCGTATCCGGGTGGCACGGGTTAAAATTGTTCAAAAAATCTGAAAATAATATAATGTTATTTTTTCGAGATATTGAACCACTTTTAGGGAGTGTCCCAATTAAATTTCAAAAATTGTTAAAATAACAACTACCCTAATATTATTACCGTTGCCTATATAAAATAAGCAACAGTGCAAATCAAATTTATAATGGCGTGATATTTATTTGGAGGTTGTAAATTTATATTACATTTATAGAGAAAAAGAGAAATATGAAACGTAACAGCGTTTGCTCCAATATTTTCGTTAATAGCGACTACATTCTCTATCTCTCTGTTTCTCTATATATATTTTTTCTTCGACTCTCTGACTGAATACAAGCATATACCTATGCATAATACGTAAGTACTCTCTTGCAACGGCACATAAATGCATTCGTACAGAAATAATACCGATCGTACGAGACTATTGGAATAAACATAAAGAGGACAGAAGAGGCTCAACAGCAGATTGAATTCTGGCCTGAACATTCCAATTCCATGCACTAACGGTGAACGTTTTTAGTGTAAAACTATGATCGACTTGCGTATAGCCGATTATTTATATTCAAAAGCAAATACTATATATCGATAAGTTCCCACACTGAAAAAAAATTTGCAGATTTTAAATAAATATTTACTCCAATAGTACTAACGAAATATTTATTTATAGTAAATAAATATTTATTCAAAATAAAACAGTTATGTTGAAATCGAATAAATATATGTTTACATTTAGTAAATATTTCGTTAGTACTATTGGAGTAAACATTTATTTAAAATCTGCGAATTTTTTTTCTGTGCAGTTAAATTCTCTTCTCTCACTCCTTTTAGCACAAAATGGACTAGATTGACGTTATAAATTGTACCAAAAAAAAAAACATGTAAGAGAAATGTATGAAATATTATTTCTGGATCTAAATCAAGGCACCAAATTATTTGCTAATATTAAAGTAAAATGCTATAAAATTCGCAAAACCATTCTTGAAGTCGCACATGAAAACCACGATGCTAAATGAAATTTTTACGATAAGCGGAAATCGATTTCTTATCCGGAAAACCGGCACGCGCTATCGCAACCAAACGAATCTATCACGTCGTAACATAAAAAATTGGATCTTATATCGTTCATTGATAATCCATTTCCGCGAAGTGCAACGCGATAGGTAATATATATGACGCTCCGGAGCGCTATTTCTCTTGTAACCGTTCGACATCTTATCCGGACGCAATTTCATGTATGCATGTGCATTTCCGCATGGTTGGGAATAACCATCAGAAGTGGCCGCGTTATTATCTCGCCACTCCTGTTTTCGCATCTAAAATTTAAATCGAAAAGTTTTTGTTATCTGGCATCCGGTGCTGGCATCCGGTGCTTTTTGCTGCGAGAGAACAACGACGTAGCCGCAAATAAACGTCGTTTTCGCATAAAAGCATTTGCATCGTTAATATACCCACAATATCATCCATTTACATATTGCTTGCGGGAGTATCGGTAAACAATCATGTAATTCAATGAACTAATTTATTTACGTTATCAACACTTTAAATCGTCTGCATAAATGCTATGACTTGTAAAAGTAATAGCACATCTCATCTATTGTATAAATTATTTGCTTTTAATTTAGAATTGTGATGGACAATTTGATGTGTACATCAATATGAAAAAGCTTGGTAGAAAAGAATGTTAAATTCTTGTCACTTATAAATAGACGTATTATTTTAACGGACAATATATTTAGCAAATAAAAATGCATAATTAATAAAACTACCTGAACATATAACATAATAATGTAATAATATTTTACAAACAATGCGTCAATAAATATCGAATGTGTCGATAAATATACCAAAATTAATAAGTACAATGGAAGCATCTAGAATTATCTATATAATATATACCTTTTCATAATTTTTATTGCATAAACTGATGTAAATTTATTTTTATCACTAGATATAACTGCATTTTTAGAATTTTTCAACGTAATTTAGAGCTGGAGATAATAATATATGTATTCCTGCTAATGTTACAAAAGAGAATCTTTTTAATATGATATAAAAAAGATAGACGTATTAAAAATAATACGTGAATTTTTTTTCAACTAAATCTTTTTAAGGAGGCTTTTTTAATACATATACATTTATTTAAAATTTAACCTCTCTGTGCGTATTAATTAGTGCAAAACAAAAAAAATTTAAAGACGACGCGATCTACTTGAGTGCGGAAAGGCGGATTTATTTCTTCACGTACTACTAATACGGTCTTTTCCAACAGCTAACAAAAAAGTTTTTTATGTCCCTGCATGGACGATCTACGACGTAAGGTATTGTACCCGTTGCGACCGCCACAAACTCTCAATTTACGACAACCCAGTCAACACTAGACAGTAGACGGTCGTTTTGTATCACTATTTAGTGCACACAGTAGACGAGGTATAAAATTTACCGTCCGCAATATTCTCTCGTAACAAAAGATTGTCTGCTGAAAAACAGAAGATAAATGCTTCATAAGCTCATCACATGAGTATAATGTACAATTTAACTCTCATGTTTTTCTAGTGATTATTAATTTTCAGAGATGATTTATAGAAAAAAAAGATAAGTGACATATATACATGTAATGTTACCTGAAGATTTTGAGAAACTTTAAACTTGATTTTTTCTTATCACAATTTAATCAAAAATATCTGTTTTCACATTATTTCATAATTTTTAATGTTAACTATTTTAATGATTAAGTCTTGAATTTATTACGGATAAATATTCAATTATATATATAAAACTTGAGATTGAAAAATAAGATTTTATTATCAACTCATATCTTTGGAGCTTACTTTGCATAAGAATGGCTGTTTTTTATAACTGTTTAAAGTAATTTAACACACACACAAATCCGGATTTTATTTTTGTGTTTATGTTAAAAGAAGTTTGCGCAAAGAATTAAAGTCAGTTGAAAATTTATTGAAAATATCACAGAACAGCTTGAATATACAACATATAATATTGTGACATGAGACATTTATTAATTATTTGTTTTCTCTCATTTATATAAATATCTTTCTGCAATTAAAATTGATTCTCCTAAATGAGAATATAATTGTTACATGCGTCGAAACATATAAAAAATAAAAAAAAAATTTAACACAGAGAGATTAAATCGATTTAATTAATTAGTGTATGAGAAAACTCCCTAATTCTAAAGTTAAAGAGGATTAAATTTCACATACAGAGTAAGCTTAAATCAGTTACCTAAATATTTACCCTTTAAAAGTAACTTTTATTTCATGTAAAGGAATGCATGTATATGTATAGAATAAAATCATATGTGGTACAAAATTAATCCGCACTGAAAGGTTTATTTGTGTTGGCAAGCACAGCATCGAGAGAGGATTTAGGTAAAATATGACGTAGTTAATAGCATCGCTCGATTCTTAGAAATTTGCTCAGATGTATAATTTACAGCAATTTCTTTAGCATTTGAAAAAAGAATATATTTTTTATCTAATGTGTCAGCGCTTGTGACTTGTATAATGCCATAGGATAATCAAATTAGAACGTAATTAGGTTTATACAAGAATGAGATAATATTAATATTATTCAATACGCGACTATTTTTAGTAAAAATATTGGAATAGACAACATATTACGAAACTTTACTTATTTCCATTTTTATTTTATGAAAATGGATTTGACGCAACGCGTTTTTATTTGTTTCTAGACTAGATTAAAAAAAATAAAATAAAAGCTATATTAGATTGCATGGTTCGTTTGTACGTAAATTAGTTTAGCCAATTAGGAATCTTAGAGATTCTCGTAGTTAATTTAAGTAGAAATTTCCAATGTCGAAAGCTTTGTCAATGGCAAATCAAATTTCCGCCAGTGGATATTCTTTGAATTTCAATAATCGCAAGCAGAGCAAACAAAACGAATAAAAAGATGGAAAATATTTTAATTTGCGTCGTATTAAACACATTCGCGCGCGTATTGTCTTTAATCGTCATATATAGATAATGAATTCTGAAATGATATTCTTAAATTGTTAAAACTTGCAACTGACAGTGCAAATGTGTTCAAACAAAAGTTAATGATATCAACATTTTTTTAATAGTACAACTTACATGTTATCGGCATTTTCGCAGCTGGCATTGATCGACCGGCACGTACTGTGTCCTTAAGAGGTGATAGAGGATCCCGAGCCTTCTCATCTCTAGAGTTGGACACCGTCGTCGAAGAGCGTTCAGATCCCGAGCAGAGCACCGCTCTCGAATTAAGTAGTCCTGATTAGCATCCGGCTTTGGCACCGTCGAGGTAATAACGATGAGACACGTTAAAATTATCCCACCTTACTCATAAATTCTCGTAAAAATATTGCTAATTACACGATACGAATCTCTAACTTCAAATAAGTATTTTCTTCAAGAAATGAAGTTTTAAAATTAATAAAAAAAGGTCTCTACGAACGGCTGTAGAGAAAATAATTGCATCGAGTAAAAAGTTTGTATGGTGAAACTTTGTGCATTAATAACTGTATACGAGCTCCATCCGATTTGCAGATTAAGCAACTAATACTTTGTTAATACCGTACAACAAAAATGATACTTGTCCATTAATTAATAATAACGCGACACGGTCAGAATTATATCTTTTACAACAAATATACACGAGTAGATAGAAGATTACAAAAAAACGCGAACATTGCACGAAGCTTGTTTCTTTTTTATAATAATTTAGCTATTCTCTCCTTTTCATTCTTTTCGTTTTTTACAAATTGAATTTTTATTCGAATTATATGAGTCATGAACGCGGAAGATGGCAGTTGGACAACAGCTACACCTAAAATCAGAATTAAAATATTAATAATTAAAATACAGTAAAATATAAGTTACAATTAAAATATAATTGTTGACTGCTCCAGATTAAAATGTCTCTTCCTTTTTTTGCGCGAAGAATTTTTCATATGACGATTTCTCATTTTTCTCCCCTCATATTCATCCGTGATAAAAATTTCTGATTAACTTTGAATTGATATTTCTTTCATAAAAACGCCGTTTTTAAATGAGTAAAAAGTTATCTCACCTATGAGTCTTTATTCCGAAAGCAATCTCGTCCATCGAGAAGCAATTTGAATAATGGCGTAATAATTGCGCACAAGCCTTAAAAAATTCACGAATTATTCGTTGGATCAATGAAAATCAGATTGCCCGCTAATTATAACAGCCCTCAAGATGCAATTAAACTCGATATTTTTGAAAAAAAATGTACACAATCGAATAAAAAACAGCAAAATTCATGAGCGTCACACGAAATTACATTTACGCTTTTTTTTTTCTGTATTTCCGCCAGCAATATGAATTTATCTGCATTACGCGAATCGTACGATTTAAGAGGAACGCGCTGATTGGTCGACGGTAAAACGTGAGATCACAGTTAAAATACTGTAATTGCGCCAAACACTTTATTACTTTTTCTTCCCCGACCCTCTTTCATGACGTGAATTGTCTCAAAAACAGATGAGATAACTTTTTATTACTCGTAATGAAATACGGATTAATGTTTCCTTCAGAAGTGCAATTTGAAAATTAATAAAATCTTACCTGTGCCGCCGACAATAGTCGCGTCGATTGAGAATAAATAATTCAAATGGCGACGTCTATGTTCTCTACCAATTGTGCGTAGCCTTTAAAAATACGGATTACTCGTTAGACCGACGAAAATCAAAACAGCTCTCTAATTAGCAGCACCTGCAATGCAATTACAAACTCGATATTTCTCGAGAACGCGTATAATGATTCGCGAAAACTCGAGCGCGCGTCACACGAAACTACATTTCTCTTATTTCTTCTTCTTCGTTTCGCTAGCAATCTGAATTTATCTGAATTACGCGAATTGTAAGAGAAACGCTGACTGGACGACGCTCGTACTTGAGATATTAAATACAGTGGCGCCAAAATACTTGGGCGTTTTTTTTCTCCTTTGCTTTCCCGTTCATTTTTGGCGTCAAAAATAGTCTCGGAAACCGGAACATTTTTATTCCTCATCCATTCAATAAGAGCAACTCAAGTAGAACACAGAAGTCATAATAATATCCCGAAAAAAAATGTTTCATATATAATTATATAAAAACCTGACATATTTTATATATAATTATATATATAATATGTCCATGTATATAACATTTTTTTCCCAGAATCACAAAGACATTACCATAGTGATCTATTTGTCACACACTTGTAAGTTCATTTTTAATTATCAAACGACATATGATGACGATCATGACTTAATTGTAATTCTGTGTTCTGAGAACAAAAGTCAATGTATTTCTTTTTTGTTTTACAAAAATTATACGGTTCTAAAATTAACAAAAAAAGATTAGCTCCCTGACGGAAGTTTTAAACTACATAGATTGCGACAAGATCTTTGAAATTATTAGTTTTTCATGGATATTCCCAAGTAGAACACAGAAGTTATGAGGACATCATCATGACCTCATTCGTCACTTATAAGTCAATTTTTTGGTATCAAATGACATCATGATGACGTCCTGTGATATCATTATGACTTAATTATGACTCCGTGTTCTACCTGGGTCGAGGGGATAATCACTTAATGTAATCGTGGGACAGAGTCCTCGAAATCATTATAAAATTCATATAAAATCTCTATGTATAATCCCCATAATTACATATGCAACCACGAGAAATCATAGTATAATATTAAATAAAATCGTATATTTTACCAAATTACTTCATATGTAGCGAAAAAAATTATTTGTAATCAGGTGAAATCATATGAAATCATGTAATCTGTGGGACAATATTTCAGCTAGTGGTTACCTCCTCGACCTGGGTTCGTAGTGACGACGTAGAGCGACGTTGTTTCTTTGAAAAACCTAGAAATCCTCCGCCCTCGAACAACGCCACTCTACGTCCCACTGCGAATATCTACGAAAAATTAGAAATTTCTAAGATTGTGTCTCAATCTATGTAGATTTTCCGTAGTTTTCGTAAAAATTATTTTCCGCCAGGATCACCTACGAGCCTCGTGCCAAAGGCAATCGCGTTAGTCGAGGCTGATTCTATAATGGCCACTACATGCATTAATTGCGCCAGCTGCATATACGAGCACCAATTGACGAAAGCGATTGATGCTTTATTAGATCGATTAGACGAAGATCGAACTAACTACCACTAATGGCAACCGCAACGCGATCGCACTCGGATATTTCTCGAAAAAGATATCGCGTTTTTTTCTTCCTTCCGTTAGCAATCTGAACTTGTCGGAGTTACGCGAGTCGTAAGAAAAACGCGCTGATTGAACGACGCCAGTACCTAATAAGATAATTACGACAATAAAATGGCGCTAAAATACTCTTTCCTCCCCCTTTCCTTTCCGACGACGTAAATATTCTCGAAACCGGGATGACTTTTTGTTCCTCGCTCGTATTTATTTAATGAAAGCAATAAGGTCGTAGTCTGTAATTTTCTTTTATAACAAGAATACGGCCAAATTAATACCAAAATTAATAGAACGAGATATCTCACCTTGGAGCATTGTGCCGAAAGCAATCGCATTAATCGCGGATTGAATGGCGGAGCTATATGCATTAGCAATTGCTGCATAACTACGAGCCTTAACCGATTCGATCGATACTTCGTTAAAGGAACGAAAATCAAACTAGGCTGTCATTTAACAGGATAACGACATGATCGGACTCGATTTTCGCGAAAACAACGCGTCCGATCGGAAAAAATCACGACAAACCACGAGCGTCATACGAAACATCCTCCCACTCACTTCTGCCAACGCAATTTTCGTCTAGCACGTACGTATTACGTGCACACCGATTGGTCGACGCAATTGTGATGTTTACTGTTAAAACAGGGCGCAATTTTCGATTCAAATTATTCAATAATGATCACTTCTGCCAATTTAATTAACTTTAATCTCGATTTAACTTACTTTTTATTCTTTTTCTAGTTCTAAGAATTAAGAAAAGATAAAGAATAAGTTAAATCGAAATTAAAGTTAATCTATATTGGTAGAAATGTACACTATACGTGGATAAAATAAACTAAAACTCTTCAGAATGGGATTCTTTTACTGAATAAAAAATACCGATACATGCTAATTTCTACCATCTATCTACTCTCCTTACAAATATTCATTAAATCTGACAATTTTATAACTGATAAATATTGATGATATTTTCAATACATTTTGTTAGTGAAACTTTTTTATCGAGAGCATGTACAAGAATGTGAATATAATAGAATATCATATAAAACAAGAGACTAAAATATATATTTAAAGTAAAAAGTAAAAATGAATTAAATTGAGCAATACATCAATTATTTAAGCGTTGTACAGATGTTTACGAGACTAAAGTGATATCTGACCATCAGATTATGACTTGTTAAAAAATCAAAACAAATCTATTGTCTCTGTACTATGTTAAAGTCATCTGAATATTCGAGATTATGACTTGTAGAAAGTCAAAACTAATCTAAAATCTTCATAAAATGTTAATGTGTTTTGCAGATATGATTGCATTTATTCTATTTTTACAGATCTCCACGACCATCGAAATCTTTGGCGGTGCCGTTGCCTGTGGATCATAGTCCGCTGTGGACGGCTTTGACACACGCTAATGCGGTCTCTGCGGCGTTAGGAGACACCTAGCAGGAGGTGAAAGACGGCAGCTATATCGAAAGTCTCGTCCTAGATCTGCCAATCATTTACTGACCGGCCTCTCTGAAAATGTCTCTTGGAGCATCGGAAGGAAGTTGGACATCTTTACTCAAGCACTACCATATCGCGATAATGACTGTGTGAAATATCAGAAAAATATACAATGCTTTTATGTCAAGAGAAGTAAATAAAACAAAATTTACAACAAAATGATGTTCGAAAAGTAGAGCATCGTATTCCTTTCGTGCGAATGTGTGCGTGTGCATGTATGCCGCAACCAAACATTATGACCAACGTGAAATTTTGTACTATTTGCGTGACATTTGCGAGTAGAGCTTTTTACACGATAGTTAAAATCCGAAACGTACCCGGTCACTGTAGGAAGTAGCTGGTCTACAATACTAATGTATATCAATGTAAATACAGATTTTTAATTAATGTACAAACGAAATTACATGAATAAAGTTATTATTTGTGACTGTATTATGAAGATTGATACTGTACACAAGTTATCGTTCGATGTACACTTTTATGTACATTTTTATATTTAGTTGAATGTTCGATGAACATTCAACTATTCTATTAAACAAATATAACATAACATGATATATCTGCCTTCCTACATCAGATTGATGAATAGAATGATTTTCGACAGTCAAGGATACGTAATAACATAAATTTTACAGAGTCAATTTGCAATTATAGCTGTAAATAATCGACGATTAAAATCCGGGTATTATGCGTCCTTTCTTCGCTGCCTTTTTGAATTTATTCTGTTTCTTCTCCTTTTTCTTTTTCATAATATTTTCTCGTCGCTTTTCTTGCCTTTCCTGCATAGATTTCTGTACGTTCTCTATCCTGGAATTCCATTTATTTGCGCTGTATTTCTTTTTCTGCTCGTTCCGTTTTATAGTACGTTTCAGCAATTCAGGATCATCTTTAACCTGTCAAGTAAGTATAATATAAATACATTAAAAACGTAGAAAACATTTATATATGAAGAACAAACAATGGCAAACTCATAATATATATTACAATATAAAAAGAATTAGCTAATACAAAAAAAATGATAAGACATTTATAAAATAAAAATATAAATAAAACCAATTATGTATTTTGTTAAACATTGCGATATTAAAAAAGAAATTTTTCATATATATATATATATATATATGGAACAATAAGGCGAGTACACACCTTTTCACCAGATGCTTTTGCCAATGCAGATTTCCATGCATCTTTTTCTTTAATGTCTTCAGCTTTTTCCTTATCTCCTAAATCTTCTAATTGCTTTAATTTTTCCTTTTTCTGTTGTAGTTGTTGTAACATCTTTTTAGAGTCATTCTGATTCTTAGGTAATTTCTTCTTTACGCCAATCTCAGAGAAGTCAAATTTGCTAAACACCATTTTACCTTCCGAATTAAAAACTGGTTTAGGTTTTGGCACTTTTGGTATTTCCTCATTTTCCGTCTTTATTTTACTGCC